CATGCTGTACACGCGATTTTCAAGATAACCGCGCATCACTATTACATAATCATGATAACCTTCGGCTCGGCTCCGGGACGCAGCTCAGTTGAGCTCAAATTATAGCCCGTGGTATGGAGTAACGGGCGCGCTACATACGTGTGAGATAAAGTCGGAGAGCGGGTAGAATTAAACGCTTCAAAGCATTTGATTTGATTTCCAGGCTGGAAACAATGTGACAGGTTCAATTTTGTGATCGCTGCTCTGTGTCTTTTTTTCATGTAATTTACATACTTCTCTACGTGTACCTCTAGTCTCTACACAGCATGGAAATAATTATGTTGTACAAATTGCTTGCTTAAAATGTAGATTTAGCACTCTAAAGCAGTGTTAACTGTTAATAAACGTCAATTAAAAAGAGTGTGATGTTAGCTGTATGTAGGTACGTTATTCCTTGATACTAAAAGCACTAGATGGATTTTGATGAAACTTTACAACAATATTACTATAATATCCTACTTGAAACAGCATATAAACTAGTAGTAAGTAATACAATAATTATGTAATAAATTCATTTTTTTATTTAAATCTATGCGGACGAAGTCGCTGACATGTATGGCTGGCTGTGTATTAATTTTCTCTGCTACATCATTTGACTTCTCTCATAACTTAAACCACACAACACACTTACCGTATCGTTCCAATGGCTAAACACCACTTATGGCTAGAATTTTAGACGTAACAAGCCAGACAAGGGGTTTTTGCCGTCAAGCGATCATCCAGATGGCATGATTGCCCTGTAAGGAAACCGGGAGGCTTATTAATATCCCCTTGGAAAAGAGGGATTGACAGGCGTGGGATGTGAAGTTATAGATCTAGCGCTTAAGAGCGTTTACGCCGTTTGGCACAAAAACAGTACTTTTTCAACCCGTTACAATCATTAACCAGTTACATTACAAAAATGTTATAGGCATAAATAATTAGGCAATTTCGTCGTCTAATTAGTTAGTTGAGAAAATATTTCGATTAGTATAGTATTTAAGAATTCTATCAAGATAAGTCCACACAGGTTTTCAAATTTCCACTTTAGCGTCAGTTTACAAGCTGAATTTTTTATAAAAAATACTGTGGAAACGATATAACAAACATTTATATCCTATAGCATAGGTCCTAAGGCAAATAGTTAGTTGAGAAAAATCTTAGATTTAAGCATTTTACAATAAGAAATCACAAATTCAAAGAACGTGAAATACCCAAAAATCAAAGTGATTTTTACGCCATTATTCTTCTTTAATTCAACATAAAAATAGCTTATTATAATAAAACAACATCTTCTTTAAAATATTTACTTTGAAACGATATATAATTCATTGTTATTGTTTTGCTATAAACATTTGAAAACGATTAAAAAACGCCGCGCGCGAATCATTTCCAATGATGCCCCTTGAAACGCCGCGCTTCGCGTAAACGCTCTTAAGACAGTGCCTGAGGTATGGAAGCGGCACGGGAGGGGTTTTTTTGACATAAAACGTGACAGAGCATACAAATCTGAAGTTTCGCTGACATTTGACGTAACAAAAACACATCGTCATCATAAGAGCCATAGGACGTCCATTGCACTGCTGTACATAATCCTCCCCCAACAATTTTCATAATGACCGGTTGGTAGCGGCCTACATCCAGCGCCTTCATGCTACCTTTATGAGGTGATCAGCCCACCTTGTGGGTGGACATTCTACGCTGCGCTTTCCGGTACGTGGCTTCCACTCCAGAATCTTGCTGCCCCATCGGCCGTCAGTTCTGCGTAGATGTGCCCTGCCCATGCCTATGTAATTACATTTGCCTCTTGTAAAGTGGATGGATCCTACAGTGGAAAAGAAATAAATAATGATGACGATGTAAATGCTATCTATATTTAGCAAAGATTACCCGCTTCGTAGTAGCTGAGTGTAGAATCATCAGTAATTCAATCGATGCCGTCAATGAAAGCAACAACCCAATCCTAACTTTCCGAGGAACGTCAACAAAAGTCAAACAAATTAACTGACTAACAGCGTAACATACACTTGCGACTAAATCGCACATATCTCGTAATCATAATGATTAGAACTTCACGCATACCGTATGCGTGAAGTATGCGGTATACGGTATACGTAACATAACACTTTAGCCGTTATTGGTTAAAAATTAGCCTGAATCTCACCTGATGGAAAGTGATAATCAGATCAATGATGGTAGTGAGCTTCACAAGGATTCCTCAACCACAGAGGAACTGCATGCTAGCTGACTATACCTCATTAATTTACGTAGGTACAGGACGTAGTTGTAATAGTTGCAATTTTACAACAAAAAAATGTATCGTTAATGTGTAGTCGACTGTTCCGTTCTGCTATGACCTTTTTATACCTAAATAATACAACTTAAGATTACTCTCAATCCCTAGTGAAATGTAAAATTTCCATTAAGTCTTGTTGCCGATGCAGACTCTTTTAGATTTACAAATGAAAACCAAATTGTGTTAAGACTATTCGCTGGGTGCGAAGTACTAGGTGGGGGGGACATAATCTATCGCAGCGCTCATGGTGGTCAAAAGTAGAAATAATGTTAGCTCTGTCATCAGATGTATCTGTCAATGGCAAAGCGATTCTACATAATACATTTTAATATCATTAATTAATCGCATGAAAAGGGTCCTACTGGGAACTTAAATAAAAGAGTGGACTGTATTTCGATAGGGCTGTTTTAATAGCCGTTTACAATTTGGAAATAACTAAACTATACAACGTGGTAGTACAAAAATGAGTCACAGTAGTTGTTGTGCACAGATGTTTGCCTTATGATGAGAGCGTGAATTATTGAACTCTGCCCTTGTTTTGTTCTTAATTCTTCTACATCTCGGACTTGTCCAGCCAATACCAACAACTTTCCTTTAAATACGGTTTGTGGTTGGAATTTGATATTGTAACTCTCACAAACCCGGTCTTCAAAACGATACTCATTTCGATCTGAAAACGATATTTAATTTATTACTAGCGATACAGAAACATTTAAATATATTTACTGTTATATAATGAAACCGTTAAAGTAGCTTTTTCTTTTTGTTTTACTGTAAAACTACAACTATAAATGAAGTAAACAAACCCTGACACAATCAAAATTAAACACACTTTTTGGACTTACCTCATTTGATTTGAATGACCAAAATGATTTCAAAACCTTTTTTCCACCCAAATCGTGGTATCACAACAATTTATTAGTTGAAAATATTTGTTATTTTTTCATTTCGATATTTTTTCACAAATATACGACCTAAATGTCAATGTGACAGAGCCCACAAGTTGTGGACGCTAGTTGGCGCTGTAATCGTGCACGGAGCCAATTAAGTTTTCGTCAAAAACACTTTAGAAATGCCAAAGTTGAAGTAAAGTCAATTGGTGTTATTGTAATTAAAGCAACTGACCTTTAGTTCGTCGATTGACCGCAAAATTTATTTTTGTTCTCTTTAAAAAAATATTTTAGGCATGAACTTTTAAAACATGTTGAATAACTATTTCAAATTATTGTGGTGATAGCCAGTGGCCTGGTTTTTAAAATATCATGTTTCAAACTAGATACTTATCGTTTTCTTAATACATAGGTGAACAATTAACTACATAGAATAAGTTTCATAGAAGAAATACAGCGCTAAACAATAGTGTAAACAAGGTTCGAGAAATTTCTCCAATTAATTCAATGAGCGTGTTATTGCAGACAAATGGATTAAATTAATACAATTTAACCCATTCATGTACAATGACATGCCCTTTTCCCTTTGGTTCCTTGTTGATTCCTTGGAAAAATACGATAGACAAATTATTGCCCCGGGCAGTATCCGAACATGCAATCTCAGGCTTTTGGCAGAAATTGAATCGACTCAAGTACCTATCTAAAATAATCTCACCTCACCCTATTTCAGTAAAATTCTGTAGCCTTTGGTACCCACCCACAAAGCTTACAATTTAGTCTAAAGTGTGCGGTTATACCGTACCCTGAAGCCGGTTAATAGCATATCAGGTGTACCCACAAAAGTGAGGTCAAAACTAATTCGCGTTCTGCCAAGTTCTCGCACCAGGGAGTATTGTATGGTGTTAATAATACATCGCAACATTTGGGACGAGATGAAGGCCTGTGAGATACGTTCGGAAATTGTATATTTATTGTTATACGGACAGAAATAATAATATAAACGTTTAGGTGAGTAGGTTTTCGGGTCAGGTTCAGAGTAATTGGCATTTTAGGGATTTAAGTAACATATTATTATTTCCAGTTTTCCAGCCTTCAAAAGCATGAAACTAAATTAATAATTAACTGTGCGTAGAGTGTCGCACGCAACACGTCTTTGTTACAATGAGGGCTATCCTTTTTATACTTAACAGTTGGCACCCCTGGCGATTGACAGGACCTTACTCTACAGTGGCGCCATCTTGATGAGTGCAAATGCGATAGTCCTGCTACCACATTCGCGCTCACCAATTGGTGCCACTGTCTTCGCTACTAGCAAGTGACAGGACCTTACTCTACAGTGGCGCTAACTGGTGAGCGCAAAAACGATAGCCCTCATTGGAATAAGGTTGTGTTGTCAACTTTTTGCCCACTTTGGGTGTCACGAACTACGAGTATTTGACGCTGACTTGTCCCTGGATGTGGGCAACGCGAGACTGATTGTTATGGAAATTCTTGGGGGAGGCCTCTGTCCAGCAGTGGACGTCATTTGGCTGAAACGAACGAACGAAAAAATTTGACATTCATTATCATCATCATTTCAGCCATAGGACGTCCACTGCTGAACATAAGCCTCCCCCAATGATTTCCATGTTGATGTTGACCGGTTGGTAGCGTCCTGCGTCCAGCGCCTTCCTGCTACCTTTATGATTCCATGTTGATGTTGACCGGTTGGTAGTGGCCTGCATTCAGCGCTTTCCTGGTATCTTTATGATGTGGTCGGATGAAACCTTTAATTAAATTATTGTGTTTGTCCCCAGCCGGAGCGAGTCGGCTCTGAACAGCCCAACGGAGCCGGATGTATCGCTCGCGGCCTCCCTTACGGACCCGCTGGAGGCCCATACCTTGGAGGAGGCCAGGAGAACCATCAGGTACATACCCACTGATTCAATACATCCATCCATCTATCCGTATTGGCGCAGAACAGACTGGAGTGGAGACTCTTCGTAGGCCACAACTCACTTTGGGTCGCTGCTTCTGCTTAGATAGTTATCTATACAAAGTTTTATGAATTGACGATAAATGCAGTGTTGCAGAACATAATTTTGAACTTAAAAATCTGACTCCTTCGGATGGGATTTGGATCCAACCTGTAACCTCTCGCTTGCCCTATAAATATTAATGACTATCAATATTTGACCTCGACTCGATTGGTGGTACTATTGGTACTATTATCATCACCACACGTGATACATGTACCTATTAGTATTGGCATTAGGCACACTTTTTTTACTTCCACTCATGATCGAGTGTCAATAAGTGAAATAACCAAACCAAAAAGCTTGTATTATTTTTACAAATATTAAATTATTTATTTGCAGGGACCTCCGGATGAAGTACCGCGCGCAAGCGCACCAGCTGCTAACATGGCGGCGCGCGAACCGCACGCAAGAGGAACTGCTGACCCGCCTGCAGCGGGAAAAGGCGGAGCAGCTCAAGACCCTCTCCAGCCAACTCCTCCTCTTCGAGTCACGACTCGTCCGCAAGCAGAAGGAGATCACCAACATGCTAGCTCTCCGCGAAACAATCATCATGAAGCAGCAAAAGGTCATCGAATCGCTCCAATCCAAACTACTCGACAACGGCATCGACACCTCCCAAACCATACCAGACTTCAGGGACATGCTGCAAGACACACACATTACAGGAGATTTCGATTCTCTGAATGATTCGGACTCCGCTGTGATTATGGAGGATGTTGACTCGGACTGCAGCAATCTCCCTCACATACCGCGTTTCAGATCAGCTAATCCTGACAGCGTGACGATAGTCAGGTCAATATCTGACGCCATAGACCCTAACTTGAAGTACAATGTTGTGAGGCGGTCGAATGGATTCCTTCGACGTCCAGAAATACTAGAAACTGTCTACAGCGTCGAGGAAGAGGTCGACGGTGATTCCACCAAAGGTCTCAGCGCTCAAAACAGCACAGAAAAGGAGCTGAAAGACGCAAACAAAACTGACGAGGAGAAATTCAAAGAGACCAGTCTTCTAGCTCAGAGGCGTGATAATTTTAGGATGAGGAGCGTCGTGCTGACCGCTGAGGTGAAAAGCATTGACAACGACAAGGATCTCAAGCCCAAAGGCGGTAAGGAGGTGTGGTCGTACAGTTACGTGCCAAAAAGGATGATGCCTGCCAACGACTCTGATGAGGAGGTGACTTCCAACCCCGAGAGCGACGAGGGCGACCCCGAGCCGAGACCCAACCACGTCGTGACCTACAACCGAGTGATGTCCAACCACAGGAATGTGACCAAACCTAAAGACGTTAAGTATAAGAGGATAAATAAGGCGAAATCTAAAAGCTTAGAAGAATTGCGGGGTAGGTTAAAGAACTGGGTGGAGAAAGGCAGTAAATTGTCGAGCATACCGCTCGAGCATGCTCAGAGTTACGCCTGAACGTCAGTCGAAGTTCCTTTTAATTTAGTTCTCGCGTGAAATGCCACGTTTATGAGCCGCGAAGTAATTTGGAAGAATGTACATTCCCAAATTGGATGTCGGCTCGTGTAATGCGTTACATCACAAGAAATCACGCGTTAAAAATCGTTGTTATAACATTAAATTGAAATAGGGTTGTACCTAACAGCTTTACGAGAAAGCAGATCTTTATTGATACTCTATTCTTGATACTTGAGCTATTGTAAATAGTCTTTCTAAGCATTGATAATGCGTATTGCGAGGAAACTAGGGTAAGTTATTAATGACCTATTGTCTTCACAGTTTTCTATTGATTTGCTTCTAGCGTTATGAATACAAATAATCGCGAACTATTTCACATTGTGAGAATCGGTATCAATAGATAGTTATTTATGTTTGATGTTACCGTATGAATAACGATTAAACAGTAGGTATTAAATGGAAGTGTGAATTCATGTAAAATTTCATTTCTAATTTCTTCTTTTCTCTTTGATAACGTGCCAAATAGATATTTCTGGGACATAAGTATTTGCTCAGGGGAAACCTGTAAAAAGTAATTGGTTTTCCAAAAACGTATTCGAGTGGGATTGTATTGTAATAAGTATGACATATATTTTTCAGGGAGACGAAAAATGTGAAAGTTTACTCCTGTCTTATAAATCTGGTGTTGCCAGAGCTAAAAATCGTTTCGTAGTATTAAGTAACATTGAATCCAACGGACGCTTTAAAAATTAGCTTCATGAATTGTTTCAATTGAAAAATTCGGTAGTGTAGATGTAGTCACCACACGTAGTATTGTTGAAATTATTAGGGTATATTCACAATATTATGTCATACACTCGTAGTATTGTGGATACACCTTTAAGCTTTCAAAAAGTTGATTATACTCTTGGCACCTTTCAAAAACCACATGTATGTTCACTAGTTGAATTTTTGCATTTTGAGAGTTATTAATAAGTAAATGAATACTAGTGGTAACTATTAATAATTATGCATAGTCAAATTAATAGAAAACTGCGAAGTTGCTTTGATTGTACTAATTTTGCGCACGACTGATTTTACGTAATTTCAATTATTGTATTAAAAAAATAAAAATATCCGAAAATTAGGTCGCTTTAACGTCGGAATTGAAAAAAAAAGTGTTATTCTGTGATTTTCAAAAGATATTTTCGTTTTTTCGCATTTCTAGGTAGGTTTGTAAAAATACCAATAAGTAATATATATTTTAAAAATGTTCACAAATATATGATTGTCTAGTTAAAAGTATATTTATTACATTAAAAAGTATCTCAGTGCCAATTTATTGAAGTAATATTTTTTCAATTAATATATTCTTGTAAGTAGAATTTGTCTAATTTTATAAGACGTTGTTCTTGTTGTTATATTATTATGTTTACTGTGAATATAATATTAAAAATATCAAAATTGTACCCAGTGAATTTCTAATTATATTTTTAAACAAATGTCACTTTTCTAAATTCTTATTGACATTGTTTTTTCGTATCAAAGTATTTTTGTATAATTAATTTTGTAAGAATCATTTTTGTATTATAAAAAATATCAAATATGTTATAACAACGTCCTATAAAATTAGTTATACATATCATTTCAGCTGTATATCAGAGAAAGGCTTGACGAACTATATTTTACTACATAAAACCTATAATTGTTGTTCATTCCTAATAATAGTCAAATACACCGATAATTGAAAATAAAAAGATAAGTAAATAACATAGCCGTTTTATTGTGCTTCTTACCTCCTTGACATCAGTAATATTTTTAAATAAATAAATAAAAATTGGTTCTCTATAAGAACGCGACCCAAACTATTGAATTTAGGAATATCAAAGCTTATGAAATGTATTGTGTTTAAAATAATAATTTAATAATACTTAAACTTATTTTAAACTCTAAAGTAACTTTGTTTGGATACAGTTCACATTAATTTAGGCTGCCTTTTATAGAAAAGTTGGTAACATTACCTACCTAATACTTATTTTCATGCAAACATGTGTTTGTGTTTTATTAATTCTTTGGTTAATTTAAACATCATACATTTAAACTTTGGAAAAACATAATTGCTAATTCCTTACTCAACTTTTTACAAAAAAGTCGCACAATATCAAAAATTTTAACTTTATCAAATAAAGCGAGCAAAGCCGCCGTCAGGAGTTAGTTTAAAAATTAAAATATACTCGTATAAAATAAACAACACCGTACTTAATATTCCAAAAATTGCGATTTCCACTTATATTGAGTGAGCAGCCTATTAAACTCTCTCAATATTAAGCCGAGGAAAATTGCGAGAAGCCCAAGAAAAAAATCCTCGAATATTTTATGAAAAATCGCTTGTGTTCCTTACTTGCCATTTATAGTTTATGAAAAATCACTGCTACGTTACTTGCCATTTAAAATAATGTCTGTGCCCGCGACTTCGTACGCGTGAAAATAGTTTGAATATTTTTCCCCGTTTTCGCAAGATTATTCGTTGATGCTCTGCTCTTATTGGTTTTTCATACACATTCATTTTCGGATAGTTCCAGTTTACTCTGTAACATATTATTGGTACGGTTGAAAGAGCTTGTGAAGCACTTTCAGGATCAGTAACCAGTTTTTCGATATCGTGTATAGTTTAGAAATAATCGAGTGAGATCACTTATCGTTTCCACCCTGTATTGCATAAAACTTCCTTGATAAATGGGATATCCAATACAAAAATATTTTTTCTAATCGGACCAGTAGTTCCTGATATTAACAAGTTCAACCCAACAAACTCTTCTTAAAATATTATTATAGAATTATATAGGGTGTTGCCGTCAGGATTGGCTGAATGTTTAAAATCAATTCGTTGCCGCACTGCCTTGAGCACAAGGGTTTAATTTCCGTTTGGTCAGTTTCGAAATCTTTTCGAATTGGGTCGTGCCAACATTTAGGCCTAACTTATTTATGACTATAAATAAAATACATAAGTGGACAGCTACCAAAACGCTCACTGAACAAAAACTACATAATCAATTTTTCAAAGAAAATTAATGACTCAATAGTTAAATTGTGTTATTGATTATTAGGACTATCTGATTCGTTCGCGATAGATCCGACAAAAATTTGAAGATAAAAAATAATATTAACTAGTAGTAGAACAGATAATAACATAATACTAGTGAAGTAGGATCTGTAGGATTCCGAGGAGGGTAGTTGAACAGATAGCATATTTGGTCGATCAGTTAGAATGCTTTTAATTATTTTTTAGTAGGTCAAGTCTACTAAAAAATAATTAAAAGCATTCTAACTGATCGACCAAACACAAATGTAAATACACAATTGTAAAGTTATTTAGTGTTATAAAGTGTAGTGATTTAATAAATCGATTCGATCGCGCATCGGTGGTCAAACAATTTTGATGGAGCAACGAGTTCGAATGGAGACAAGTGCAGTGTGTTGCTGTCCGGTTAAAGCCGGACACCTGACAGCCCTAGCAGTGTAGCTCTCTCTCCAGCAAAATGGAGCGATGACATACCCAAAGTGGCTCAAAGCGGTTGAAAGAGAATAGCTGAGGATCTTAGTAGCGTGCATTGGCAGTCCATCTTCCAGCACTGATGAAGATATATGTAAGTACCTGCATGGAAAAATACTTTAGTTTTCGAATTATGTTCATAGTAGATAATTTAGGTATAACCTAAGCTTTGACAACTGGTAATATATTAAATCTTTTGACAATGGAAAGAATACATACTTGAAGCATATCAGACATTTATAAGTCCTCCAATAAAATGATCCGAGGTTACTGTGCCCGAGGCAGTTTAATAAACACGTTTTTTGTTAAGCTTCTTTGTAGATTTGAGAAGAAACGTATCTTTGAAATTACTAAGTACCTACAGTGCACGTTCACTCAGTTTTATTGCAAAACCGCACTTATTCCAGCCTCATAAGATATCATAATTGTTACTTGATATGCCGTCGTCTGTACACAAAAAAACATTATTTCATTTCTAATTCGTCCACCATTGTTAAGAACGAATGAATTTATCATAATTATTTGATGGAAAATCTCTTTGAAGTCTTATAAAGATTACTTTTTGCTTTTGAGTTTCAAGAGTCAATGTCCACGAAAAACAAGACTTATTTATAAGAAGTTAATTAATAAAACTTGTTTCTTTTCTATCTTTTGGGACCTTATGACAAAGCACCAACTTTCTTTGGAACGAGGCAATTTTTTAAACCTTATTTGAAAATTATATAGTTCTAACTAAATCCACATTGAAATGGGGAAAAAGATGTGAATAAAATATAAGACATTCACCACAACTACAACTCTTACATTTCGTGGAAAAACTTCACTAAATAAACCTAAAATAATGACTGAAAGGTTGTTTTTACATCTAAATTACTTAGATTAAAACTACGTCTAATCAGTTATATGTAAAGTTTGCATCATTAGTTAATTATAATAATAATTTATTCTGCTTCCAATAAATATTTTTCCATTTTCAAATTAAACAAACTTTAAAACTGGTTTTAAATAATCAAATAACACGAAACTACAAGATCATATTTATTTTAATTTGTTATAACAATGTGTATGTTTCAATCATTGTAATGAAAGAGCATTTAATTTTTTCCAAGCATCCAATTTTCGCAGTAGGGTTGCCAAGTGTCCGGCTTTTTTCGGACGTATCCGGCCAAATATTTTCTCGTCCGGCCTGTCCGTCATTTGTTAAGCTTTTTATGTGGCTGCTGCGCCAATCGAAAGTCGAGTGCACAAGTGAAGCCATAATGCGATTTTTATATTATGCAATATTTTTCGGCTTTTAAAACATATTTAGAGCTTTTACAAGCAATGATAGCTATAACATCCGGCTTTCAGGATAAAATGTCCCGCCAAAATTAAGCACCGAGTCCGGCTTATGTATTTTTGGACCTGGTAACCCTACTTGCAAGGCAAAAATAATACGGCACTTAACCCGTCGCCTGCTACGACTATTTTGGGAATAATTCCAAACAATTGGATTCTTCGGCGACATTGTATAGCGTTTTAATATTAAATTTCTCCAGAGTTCCATTCCGTAGCGTATGGAAGTAGACATTTTTATAACCGTATGAATTCCAATTTGTGTTCTATTTTGGAGACTCAATTTTATTACTCGAACTGTAGTGGGTTCAGCGATATGAAAATGTAGGTATTTTGGTATTTATTGTAAGTAAAGTTCTAAAGTAAAGAATAACTGTTTATCAAGTCGCCTAAACACAATTTACATTGTAAGATATTTTGTTTGTTTATTAAATTTAGGTATCAATCTGACTAAAAATATGTTAAAATTACTTACTTCAGTATCGTATGTGAAAACATAAGTTACATTCGCATTAATGACATAATTACTACCATTCAATTTCTTGGGTTATAAAAATGACAATCAGTGTCAGCTGTTAAATTCTTGTTGTAAAATATTAGGGGGCGTCCATAAATTACGTGAGACTTTTAGGGGGGGGAGGGGGTCAACAAAAACCTCACTAAATCTCACGTGGGGGAGAGGGGGGGTCTCAGGAAATATCACGTAATTTTTTCCGCAAGAAATAGAGAAATAGAATTTGCCAGAAAACTGGGATTAAATCATAAGTTAAAAAATTGGCCAACTGCGTGTCGTGCCACGCGCAGTGTAGGGTTCCGTAGTTGTCCGTCGTTAACAAAATATGTTTCAGAAGCAAGCAATTACTTCATCTAAAGTCGCTTTTAATATTTTCTTCTAAGGAATTTTTATTAGATATGAAATTTTATAATACATGAGTTAAATGACTATTAGGTACTCTTAAACTAACTGACCTACCCTAACCGTTATAGTTTTCTTGAAAGTTCATAAAAAGCAGTATTATTATGAATTTTTCCTGATTTTTCAAGCCAACAGTCTAGTTTTTAGAGGGGGGGACGCCCTGCTCGAACAAAAATTGGCACTTTAAACTTTAATAGTTTGCAAACGGATCCCTAAATCGAAAAATAGTCTTTGAAACCCCCAAGTCATCCAACGATATCCTACACGATGGTGTAGAAGATGAAAAAATATCATCCCCACTTTACATGTAGGGGAGCTTCCCTAAAAAAGGTTTTTTCAAAATTTTATTCTACCGTTTTATCGGCGTGATTAATATACATACCTCCACAAAATTACAGCTCTCTAGTGCCTAGGACCCTAAAAAAATATATTTTCTTTGATGATAATGACATTTTATTCTATACCGTCTAAACATATAAAACTAAAAATGCTTCCGTCTGCATGTGTGAATACTAAAATGCAGAATAAATGACGAAATTAAGAAAATTATAAAACAAGTTTTTTTTTTATCAAAATCGATTTTGCTAGATTATGTAGAAAGGAACAATAATTAGACTAGGTACTTCTGTAAAATAAAACAATGAGACCCTAGTAAGTAGACTACTAACCGCTGTCACTACACGTGTTTTTCTGGATCTATTCGTGGTCAGTGGGCTTAGTGCGACTTTATATCGATCGTCATCCGCTAGCGACTGCGTAAAAAATGACATGAATTAAAAT